ACTTGCAGTACAGCATAGGCGCCGGGGCCCAGGCCCGCGCCGCAGCCCATGCACCCACCGTGCCATGCCTGGGCGAGCGCCCCGCCCACCCACCCCAACCTGCCTACAGCTGGCGCGCTCTATGCGAACTCCCCTGGGGCGGGTGTTGGGCGGGTGCTGGGGCCAGGCCCGCCACCCGCCAGCCGCCCCTTGCCGCCTCTTACAGCTCCCAGCATGCACCCAACACAAGTGCGCGCAACCAGCTCACCCCGCAGCCCTCAGCAACGACCCACCCGCCCTACCGCGCGACGGCCTCGCTGCTGCCCTTCCGATATAGAGGCCAGCACCCCCGGCAACTGCCTCTGCACCCCCGACAAAGGCCCGCTTCTTTTCTTGCTTCCATAGCGGGGGGCAGACGAGCCTCGAATTGGCCTCACCCATCTTAATGCCATAAGCATTCAGCCAAACCCCAATCATTCCCCTGAGGATCGGTTCCCTTCCCACGAGCGCCAGGCCTAGAGGCCCTGCAATGCAGATGGGGTCTCACCGTCAGCTGCCGTGCTCCCGGGGCCCGGCCCTGCCGCCGCGCCTGCATGACGAGAATGTCACATGTATGCAGGTCAGGATTATTGCACATCAAGCTGTATCCTGAAGAGACAGAGGCGGTGGTTGCGCAATCGGGGATTCAATCGCAACATGCCGGAATGCTTCACATGGGGCTGGTGCGCTCCGAACTCAGAACTACAAATGTGCGGTTGCTCACCCTACAGCCTCTTGAAATGATCACCAGCAGCAGCGCTGTTCACGATAGCTCAAACACTTCCGTACTACACCGCCGCGGGACCCTAGAGCCGGAGTCTTAGCTCAGGTCAAGCCTGGGCTAGCACAACCAACTCACCGGCTCCAGCCGCGCTCCCCGCACCGAGGCCAGCCGCCGAGGCTGCAGGACATGGGAGCGGTCGGGGGACCCGTGTAGATTACGAGTTGTTTCAAGCTTCAGGCACGAGAACCCTCCCACTCAGCCAGCGACGCAGAGCCTCCCGACACACCAATCAAGCCTTCTCAGCTCCCAGTGCATGACCTACTTTACGGATAAGCAC